TCTGCAGCTGGGAGCTCACAGCTCAGTCCACGTCTGGTCCATCCACGCACACACACACACACACACACACACACACACACACACACACACACACACACACACACACACACACACACACACACACACACACACACACACACACACACACACACACACACACACACACACACACACACACACACACACACACACACACACACACACACACACACACACACACACAATAACGGACCTCTCTGTGCACACACACACAGTAACGGATCTCTCTGTGCTTGCTTCACTGTTCATGTTTCTTCAGTACTCCCTAGGTTTTCTTCAGTTTGCTTCTTTTTAAAGTTACTTTAAAGTTATTTAAAGTTACTTTTTTCGTAACGTATGTGGTGCATTTGACAAGACAGAGCTGAAAACGGCTCGTGCTGCGTCAGTCAATGCCTCCTCTCTGGTCGGGTTATTTTTTACTCTCTCTCTCTCTCTCCTCTTCCTCAGGATCCACACCCTCTTTCCTATTCACTCTCTCTCTTTCTTTACATTTTTTAATCACAATTGTAAATTTTGTGCTAATTTTAAATATATTTTAATCATTTTCTAAATTCTTTTTTCTATTTTACATGTTTTGTTTTTGTGAAGTGCCTCGTGATTTTTATCTTGAGAGGCACTATAGAAAATAAATTTTCTTCTCTCTCTTAATTCATGCACTTAAATATTAATGTTCTGATTTTATTGAAAAACTTGTTCTGGAACAGTTCCTTTACTATTGTGATCAAAAACATTTAATCTCAATTCTGAGGCTGCTCTGTAAATAGTTTTCAAATAAACAATACACATAGCAACTTCTGATCAGACTTAAAATAACGTATTGGTTAAACCACACCCACTTCTGGTTAAACCACACCCACTTCCGGGTTAGGCCACGCCCACTCCGAGTACAGATACGGATACAGATCATTTAGATCAGGGATTCCCAAAGTGGGGTGCGCGAGCTGCCGCTAGGGGATGCGCGAGGTGAAAAGTGTAATGGCTGCGGAGCTCAGAGAAGTCTGTCATATGTCACCATTAGCGTAGAAACTCATTTGTGGGTGGGCCAAAGAAAAAGTAAGTGGGCCCAATAAATGTAATTGAAAACAAGTATATTTTTGCGCGCGTGTGTGTCCTCCACATGTGCCCTAGCTTCATAATAACAATGCGCCGAGCTTCAGCGCTCTGGCCTGCGCACGCTGATATGTTCCGTATTTGATCATTTTTAACGGTGTTGGAGGAATCTGAAGGTGGCGAGTCATTCTGGCAGATTGTAATTAACACCTGTCTCATGCAGGTGTTCTGACATTGTAAACCTCACACACAGAACATGGTGGATGTAACAAAATAACAAGAAATGATTCCCATTCAGGCTATTGACAGCGCGCTGAAGATCTGAAGGTCAGAGTGCGTCTGTCAGAGGTCAGACGCGTTCCAGCGGAACCACGGCTCACGGGTGCACAAGTGAGCACATCTGGGCTGGGCAGAAGTCATTTTACAACATTGGTTTAAATAGCGCGAGACGCGGTGACTTGAGCGGCTGTGCCGCGCGCGCGCGTGCGCTCGCACACACACAGATTCAATAAGCGCACACGCTGCTTTAACTCCGGCGCGCCAGCAGACTGAAGGCAGAAATGAACGCTGCCTCCACCGTGATAACAACTTTTAAGAGGTTATTTTTCATTCAAGGTCAAATTCAGATATTAGCTTCTGGGATGAGTTGGGTCCGCTCCAGCCAGTGACTCCTCATGAACCTGACCACAAGTCCTGTTACTGCAGCATTTGCTATTCCAGTCAGCGTGGCAGCGGATCGCAGATTCAGCCTCACCATAAAACAGCAATAAGTCTGTCTGAGGTAAAAGTGAACATCATGGCTATATCTGGTCCCCTATTGACATTTGATTACGCACAAGTAGGTGATCAGCTCAGGTTTACACAGAGCAGAAGGAAGGAGAGCGCTCTGGCCGCACAGGTTAAACGTTCCTACTTTAAGGAAACTGTTAAATTGCATTGTTAATGTGCTACCTGGGCACTCTAAATATTTATTTAAAATGAAATCAAAGGAAATTGTAATGGTATCGAATGTTTATTAATTACTATTTAAAAAATGAAAGTGATGGGGAATTTTTTTTAACCCTGTCTGTTTAGCTTGACATCTGATATATGTGTATATATATATATATATATATATATATATATATATATATATATATATAGAGCCATGCCCCGATGTGGGGGCTGGGGGGGGGGGGGTGCGTCGACATGGTCGGGACATAGAAGGGGGTGCGCGGCTAAATAAGTTTGGGAACCACTGATTTAGATGGTTGAACAGATACAGATCGTGGTGTACTCGCTCATCCCTAGTCTGAGCCGAGGAGCACGTCTTACCGGCCACGAGTCAAACGCAACGTTCAGCCTTTCTGTTGCTACTCCAAGACATTCTGAAAAATTCTAAATTCCAACCATAAACACCCTTTAAATAAAGCATTAAAAATCACAAAATCAGGTTTTTCAAAATAAAATAATCAGGAACCTTCAATTCTGGTTTTGATATCAGTGCATTCCTAGTGAAAGATGTTCTGTTCTTCTGCAAACAAACTCATCTCACTCCCATTCATATCTTGTCTCATCGTTGTAAAACAAGAACACCTTGTCTTCTTTCATCCACTGAGTCTCTTGCCAGTGTAGGAGGTAATTCTCTAATCCCCTCAGAGTGGAGAGTGCATGCCCAAGCTGACGTAGACTTCTATTACATGCAGGCTAAATAATCATAACTAGAAGTGAAGGATCTTTACTTTTTACCTCTCCTTTATAAAACAAAGAAACATGAAAAATCACGTTTTACTCGTCTTACTCTGTTAACTCGTTCGTTGCCAGCCGTTTCCTGATCGCTAAAGCCCTTCGCTGCCAGCGTTTCTCACCGTTTTTACAGCTTTCTTAGACTCACAGAATGTTGCGCGCTAGGATGATGTCGACGCCAAAACAACCAAAGCAAAGTGGAGACTCACCTCTTACATCAGGAAGAATCCGCGCGCTTCGAGCATTATCCGTTCTTTCATAATCCGTTGTTGAATTGTGATCGGCAGAAGCTTTTCCGGTTCGCACCTCACTTTTTTTTACAGCAGTGGCCCAAAACTATCTCCTAACACATGGATTTTCTGCTTCCTGATCACGTGACGTATGCGGATGAAGGTCGGCTTCAGAGCTGAGATGTTTGTTCTCACGGTGCAGGGGCTCGTTCCGACCCCCACACAGTAAAAACTTTAGTCGTCATTGGCAGCGAATGAGTTAACGACTTATTTAGAAATGTGGCTTCTAGCTTTTGCACTGCATACCTTTTAGTCTGTTAGGTGACCCGTGTTGGGTTACCATGTTGACAATAATAAGCCACTGGAAGCACCTTTAACATTTCTTACTACCTTGATTTTCTTTACACGATCAATGTCTGAGGTGTAAATCACAAATTTCAGCACTGATGAGGTGGATTGTGATTCAGCGTTTGCCGATACCTCATATTCAGTCAGAATACCATTTGAAATTTATTCCATTCATGTTCCACTAATTACTATGAAATGAGAAGTGACTGAGCACAATAGGCGTGTTTCTGGTATCGGAGCTTTAGGGTAATTTTATCGGAACTTCACGGCATGTGCGTTTCTCCACTTGAGTGGGCTGACCGATACCGGGCCGTTTTCAGGAACCAACAAAGTACCCGAGCTGGGGAAGGTACTTGGAATGGCCCGGTGGAGTCGCTGAGTGGAACTTTTGGTTTGCTCCCGCTGATTGACTCAGTAGGAAATGACATTGGCAGACGAAACAAATGGTGTTTGTAAAGTTGGAAGAGTTGAAGTGGAATCGACGGAAATGACGAAAAACAAAGTTCACCTTCTCAGTGGCATAGAGGTAGATTGTTCCTGTAGTGGAAACACAGCTTTTTCTTTCCCAGGGGAGAGAGGATTTCTTTACTGGCCGTTTTCTCACTGCTCACCATGATTCCACTAGCTTCTGCATTTCCACCTTGCCTGCTGCTGGTGGTTGGAGGGACCGGTAGTAGTGATGGGAATTCCGGTTCCCAAGTGGCTCCTCAGATTTTCTGTTGCGTAGAGTACATTTATAACCAAAATAATGCAAAACTATATGTAAAATAATTTACTAATGTAAAAATGCAATATATCAAATATTCATCATTTCTATGGATTTAATAACTGAACACTTTAAGAAATCTCCACTTTCCGACTGCTGTCGCTCATTTTCTCATCGTCTTTGTCACACTCCCTCTCGCTCACCCTTTTCCTCCTCCTCATTCCCTCTCGTCTCCCTCCCCCCGCGTGTGCTCTGCTGTGAGTCTGAGTCTGATCCTCCCTCTTCCCCGCCCCTACTGCTCTCTGTGTGGACAGTCTGGACACGCAGTTACACATGTTGACCAATCGCCTGTAACTTTCACCAAAGCAAGAGGGGAGGGTGCAGGTGAGGGGACAGCTCCCAATGACGAGCCGGCTCCCGTTGTTCACTTCAAAGAGCCGGCTCTTAGAGCCGGTTCGTTCGCGACCGACACATCACTAACCGGTAGCGCCAGTGTTGGACTGACTTCGCCTCTGTCAGTCCGCGCCAGGGCAGCTGCGGCTACAGTGTGAATGGGTGAATGACTGGTTGTTTTGTAAAGCACCTTGGGGGGTTGTGGAACTCTAAGAAGGCACTATACAGGCCATTTACCACTTTTGTTGATGTGCAGGAATAGGTGGAAAGCAGCATGAGAGCAGAACTTCAAAATAAAGCAATTTTCAAAATAAAAATTGCGTTTGCTAAATAGTTATTCAATGTTTGCGTTTTGGATTGATGACCATAGAATCAATGTATGAAAGTGTTGTTCCACTCCTAGAAAATACATTTTCTTCATCAGGATGTTTGGTGCATTTTGCATTAGTCTACACCAAAAAGTCGATGGAATTCCTAACAGTAGCTGCATCTTTTTTCTTCTTGTCCAGGAGTGTCCTCAGATCCTGCCCTCCACCCAGATTTATATTCCTGCCGGAGTAATGAGGCCGGTCACTTTGCTGGCTCAGAACCTGCCGCAGCCTCAGTCCGGACAGAGAAACTACGAGTGCATCTTCCACATCCAGGGAAACTCGCACAGCGTCCCCGCTCTGAGGTTCAACAGCTCCAGCATACAGTGTCAGAAGACCACGGTAAGAGTAGCAGCACACACACACACCGCAGTGCACCGCATAGCAAAACAGCCATAGTGCAGCGATTAGGAGGCTTCACAGCTGGCTGGTTTGCAGCGTGAGGCGTAGGAGCTGGCAGGCATGAACACATGAAGCTGAGGCATAAGGCCACAGCGACTGAGTGTTGCAAAGTCACTCTTTCTTCATTCCAGCTACTGATTCCAGCCTCTCAGCTCTCAGTCCAACTGTCTCCACTAATAGGGAGCAACCATTGCAGAAATGTACATTTCCTGAGGTCCAATGAGGACGTGATGCTGGGGTGGGGGGTGGGGGTGGGGGGGGAATTATGATTCAGATTATTGTCTGATCAACATGCGAGGCGTAGGCTGCGGCACGGTGATTGGTCAGATAGCAGGACGTAGCAGACTAACGGCTGCAGGAACTAATGTGTGGCTTTGGCAGCTCCGCAGAGCCCCCCCCCCCCCTCCCTTTTACCTCAGCTTGTCACACACCTGTCAGTCGCTGCGGCTCATTTAACCGACTTCTGCGTCACCATTAGCTCACTTTGCTGATCGGCAGCCACTTGCTGTTTTTGAACTCCACCGAATTCCCTACAAAAGAAAGCGTGAGCGCCAGCCGTGTGATCCTTGAATTCTTTGTTCCTCTGATGTTGGACGGTGACTCCAAGAAAAGTTAATAGGCAAATTACAGAAGTTGATTTCCAGATCGTAATGACGGCTCCTACGGTTCTTTTGTGATCTGGAAATGTAAATCATGCATATTCGGTCACTTGTGTTTCTCTAATTGCTTCATGCCGGTGATTGTGCTTTTAGATCCGACTTCTGGGGTTGTTATTACGGGCTTTTTTTGGACGGATTAGCCCTTAATGACACGACTGCTCAAAAGCCTTTTGAATATTGAATGAGCTGTAAAAACACTAAGTGCTGCACATGAAGTTGAATATTTAAATATGATGGTTTTAAAGGAATTCTGCCCCTCACTCGCATTACCCTAAACAACATTTCTGTTTTTAAGCTATAGTCAAACTTACTGTTAGATGTGATTCTCTACATTATTCCCAGTTTTTTCTGATACTTGTCGTGCAACAGACAAGTAAAAAGTATACATTTTATTCCACTGTGGGGGTGTGAGTGTGTTCAGAGAGACTTCTCCGACGTTGCAGTTGGTTTTGGAGCAGTGTGCAGTTTTCATTCCCTGTGTTGCGATACATTCATTACTACCCCTCTACTGCTGTGAATTGCTGATGCTGGAGGACTTCCTCTGCAAAACTCCAACGAAACCAAGTGAATCACACTTACACACACGTACTCTCACATTTATTACTTTTTTTCCGTCGTGCACATCGATGTTTTGTAAAATTCCAATCGTATCTCCGCGGGAGTCGAGGAAAGTAGGAAACCTGCAGGTCTCAATGCAACTTTGCAGCTGCTGAATGAGGTAGACGTCGAAGGCTGAACCGCGTGTTTGCCTCTGCGCCCACATTCACACATCCGTGTGATGTTGAGGTGGAATGAGCAAGCCCCCCCCCCGCCTATCTGCTCGTCAGGTGGGACCGTGATAGGATCCAATTAAGGGAGCTGTAGATAAAATGATGATAAATTGCAGTGGTGTTGTAGACAGACGGACACGGACACACACACACACACACACACACGCACACACACACACACACACACACACACACGCACACACACACACACTGCTTGGCAAATGGGAGAGAAGGAAGCCGAAAAGACAAACTGAGCCAAAGGGGAGGTAGGGGAATTAGGTGCGGACAATGACGATGTAACAAAGAGTGTGATGGAAGAAGGAGGACGAGAAAAGAGAAAATGGGAATAATCCAAAAAGCAGCCCAAGCTCAACAAGCCAGTCTGGGGAAAACAAACAAATACGATAAAACAGATGGAGATAAAAGGATTTTTTTTATTTTAAAAGCTGTGAAACAAAGAAAAGAATGAGTCAGAAAAAAGTAGAACTATGATGTTAAACAGAACAGCAGAGGGTTGGGCCGTTGGGACTGTAAGGGTTCTGTACAACACTGTTAATCCATGCAATCCTGGTTCAGCACGGACACTAAACACATTCTCAGACACTTAGTATAATTTCTACACATTTTTCTGCTAAAAGTTCACAAATTCAGCTTCGTTGGTGCAGATTTGTTTAATGAAGTTACAAGCTGATAATCTTGGGCTCAAAATTCTTGGAATCGGAAAAATAAATAAGATTAAAGTACAAAAATACAATAAAGACATATTTCATATGGGAAAAGGGCTCTCCAGAGCTAAAACTACACAATGCAAACATCTGTTAAGAGGTTTTCCAAAATGTCTCGCAACGTTTATGAGTCAGAGGGCCTAGTTGTCGAGTCGCTGGACTTTGGAAGATAATCAAAAACTTTTCAAGACCAATTTTGTTTGAATGGTTTCCTTTAAAATTTGAAATTTACATCTATTTACATCCTCCGGATCGAGAGGAGTCAGTTGAGGTGGTTTGGGCATCTGTTCAGGATGCCTCCTGGACGCCTCCCTGGGGAGGTGTTTCGGGCACGTCCTGCTGGCAGGAGGCCCCCGGGTCGACCCAGGACACGTTGGAGAGGTTACATCTCCAATCTGGTCCGGGAACGCCTTGGGTTCCTGCCGGAGGAGCTGGTGGAGGTGGCTGGGTAGAGGATGGTCTGGAGCTCCATAGTTGGGATGCTGCCCCGCGACCCGGACCCGGATAAGTGGAGGAAGACGATGACGACGATCTATTTCAGTGATTGTGAACTTCACCAACTTCACTCTGGACAGCACTCTGCAGCCCTCAGCGGACCAGAAGAACTGGAACTGTACTAGAAGAAGGCACTATCCAAATGCAGGTCATTTACCATTCAACCAGTAGGGTGGAGGAGCAGGAAACTGTTTACTCCAGCAAATAATTCGTTATTTTACAGTAGAAGTCGGACTATTTATTACTGGGCTAATTAAATATATTTGTGATGTTTTTGGGGAGAAAGATTCTCTAGACACCTTTCTTTTAACTCGGATTTCCGAACTTAAAGGGTGTGTGTGTGTGTGTGTGTGTGTGTGTGTGTGTGTGTGTGTGTGTGTGTGTGTGTGTGTGTGTGTGTGTGTGTGTGTGTGTGTGTGTGTGTGTGTGTGTGTGTGTGTGTGTGTGGGAGGGGAGTGGAGTGGAGTGGAGTGGAGTGGGGTGGATCAATAGCTGATCCATCTGTGATTGTGAAGCTGCTCACTGGCTACTATTGTATTCAGTATTCTCAGCAGGGAGGTGTGTGTGTGTGTATCATGGCTGGCTGTGACTAACAGAGGGTAATAAATCACAGGGAGAATTAGCCGACAGTAGATGTACAGTCATCCATTGAATCATATACTGTCTCTGTGTGCATTATTTAGCCCCTCACCAAACACCGAAACATTGAACTTGCAAACTCAAACACACCAGGGATCTGCAGCATGCATCGGCGCAGACCGGAAAATTCACGAGATGATACGTGCACGATCTTGTGCACTCGCAGGCAGGATACAGGGAAGCTGCGGGAATACCTTTTTTTTTAAAATCTTTCATGGACAAACCCACACACTCCCATGCGCTTGTCCTCCCCAGGGGTTTGGAAGCCCAACGCGAAGCAGACATATGGAGATTCTCCACATGATCCTCTTCCTAATCATGTGGAGCAGACGGAGACTGTAGCATCAGCAACGACCAGGAATCTGCTTTACATGATTTATTACACTGACACAAATATGTGTGTGTGCGCGTGTGTGAGTGTGCACGGACTTCCTGCTGTTGGTCCATGCATCTGGGACACTTCTGAGCAACGTAGCCAGTTTGAGCACATTTGTTTTAACGTTGCATTGTTAATAAAACGTATCCAGATATAACTGATGGGAGGACTGCAGCTTACATTATCAAACATGACACAAAGAGGATACGAACATACGTCTAACACCCACACGGGACTTGTTCTGTACAATGCAGTCTTTTTTAGCGTTAGATTATTTACACAAGTTTTATTTATTTATTTTTATTCTATAAATATATAAAGTGTAAAAGAAGTTAACTTGCATCTAATTAAGGACCCGTGAGACATACGATTCCATAGTTAATATGAAATCAATCTTACGGACCGTTGAGTTATTTAATCAGAAGATTGGATCTTTTTATTGCAGGGATTATGTAACAGTTTGTATTAACTGAGAGACAAGAGAAGAGAGAGTCCTTTAAACCATTTAAGATGATTTATTTCTAAACAATTTAAACAATTTTAAACAAGACTAACTCTAACTCTAAATGATGGATGGATCTGGTGTAATGAGAAATGAGATGAATGGTTTATGTGTGAGTGATGTTTAATCAGAACTCTCGTATCCGGAGAAGCAAGTATGAATGATGTTGTGATGTTTTGCTTCTAGCTATGATCAGAGTTTGATCGGAGTTTCATAAACACATGAGGCGCCATGTTGTCGCTCCTCACATACCCTTGAGATTAGACTTCCGTACAGATCCAGAATGCCAGGTCCTCGGACCCCCCTTTCTGTACCGGAGACGGTGAAACAGCGTCAGCAGTACGACAAACTAGTCTTTGGATTGTCTCCAGGTAAAAAGCGACAGGTGGTTCACAGTGTCAAAGGGATCCCCCTTGGGTCAGTGAGTTCAGCTTTTATTCTGAAAGGAACCGTTGCTTTGTTGGTAAAATGCAACAGATTTTATCCAGCTTGTTGGTTGTGTGCTTTTTGTGGTTAGTTTACTTTTGTGTGTGTGTGTGTGTGTGTTTCTAGCTACACAACAGGATCAGTTTAATGTAAAAAAGTCATATTTGTGATTAAATGGATGCAGTGAAATGCTCTATAAATAAAAATGGCATTGGTTTAAAGTTAATGAGGAAAAAAAAATCTCCATTCAACTTTTGTAAATCTGAATGCAAAAGGCCTCTTTATGGAGCAAACGGTGTTTGTTTAGCTCAGTTATGCTGACTAAAGGTGTAAAAACGCTTTTAACTC